TATTAAAATTACAATTCGAACATCCTTGAAAACCTAACCTGCTGTTAATGCAGGTAGAATATTCTCACCACATGGATTATTTGTCAATATTTGTTGCATTGCATACATATGGCACGGCATTGGTGGTTACTTCACATGTTCATTTGAGTTAATTGTCTCGGTTGCAGAAAAAATAGCATGTTTCATTCGGATCAAAAGTGACTTTGTTCGACTCGCAAATTTTGCTTTCGCTCGGCTTCGCTAAACGCTCCGCCGCGCAAATGCAAAATTCGCTTGTCAAACAAAGTGTCACTTTTGATCCTAATAAAACAATCTACTATTTTCCAATGACACCTACGATTTGCTGGAACTATTCAAAATTTCAGTCAGGAACTCTAGAACTCTATCAAATCTACTCAGAACTAAAAAAAAAAGTTGGGTTTTTCGAATAAAACGGCGCCAACTTCACATGAGTCAATACAATGAATTAGTTACTGAATAATTTGGAAATTCAATTGTTTTGGTGAATATTCAATCAGGTGCATATTCTACATTATGAACTTTTTATGACTATTTATTTGTTGGTATTGTTTGTGTCCTCTTCATGGAGAAATCGAAAGAAACATTCCTTCAATTGGAACTTTTTCCATATGAAAAATCATAGCCCACTATTAAAATTCAATTTTTCAGTGATTTTGGAGCATTTTGGAAAATTTTATATTCATACATTGTATATCATTTTGAAGAAAAATAAAGGAATGTGATGAGATTGTAATATACAGGGTGTACACATTTTAAAAATCATGAGTTTCAGTCGAATCTCCATAACCATACCCCGAAAAAAAAATTGAGTGCGTCACTGGATTCTGCGTAAAATTCTGTATGAGATAAGATTTTAATTTTAAATTTTCGCAGAGAAACTTCGTAGATATAGAGGGGTTTAGAGAAACTTCGTAGATATAGAGGGGTTTCTCGGGGAGGGTTCAAAAAGTATAAATTTTCAAAATCTGATAAGGCTATCTTTAGTTTCACAAAAAAGTGGCATAGGTCCGCGAAAGCTGCAAGGTCCTATCTCCAAAGATAACTGAGATATCTCGCAAAAGCATAAAATGGCGACTAAAATGGGAAATGGATGACACTGGTCTACACTACACATGTGTCTCGATTCCTACATAATTCAGGAAAACCTCAAACAGGTAATTACAGAATCATCTATCCGCATCTAGCTCGAGGTGAAGCTAGATCAATATTTTATTTTCTATTCTCAATGTTCTCGATGACCTGCCTACATGTGGGTCAATCGCTATAGAAAAAAAAGTAGAATATCTAAAAGCCAATGATATAATCGCCACTGCTACAATTTTTTTATCCGAGTAAATGATGCAGGCCGTTTAGAAAGCAACAATTCCAGTTTTCCCGAGATTTCCCCTTTGCAGCATTTACAATAACGGTGCGTTTGCCAACTTTTCGGTTATTTTAATTCCGGCTATATAGTACACTCATTTCGAGTCCTCTAGGTATATATGAATAAAAATAGACCGCATGGAATGGAACTCAGTTGAAAAACAGTTGAATCCATTCAACTCTGTCAGCGGCGCATGATTACGAAATCATCGAAGATATTTGCACTCGTATTAGTTGTATTGTATTTGCAACCGTATTTCTCTCGGTATTTCTGCCATGTTTGTAGATTCATTTATGAGAGGCATGACAAAAATTATCAAGTCTTGTGTGTTTTACCTCGGTAACTATTTACATTTTCTAATTCATGCAGACTATAGGCAGAGATACGTAGGTAAGTAATACCTCCTTGAGTACCTCGTTGTACTTATACACGGTGATCTCAATAGCAATGCGAAACATTATTCAGTGAGTTTTCCCAATCGAATGAAGTATAAATAATTTTTTCTACTCACATAACTAAAATGGCATTTAGCGTACGGATTTGTACCACGCTAAATGATCGATCAATCACGGATTGACGATCTGTGATTTATTCAAAATATTAAACACGTTACCATGGCAACACGATTTCTTAAACACATCACCATGGCAACGCAGTTCATTAAACACAGCTTCAGTAATTCGAGACATGTCTGGCCTGTCAATTGTATTAACTGTCAACTGTTATTTTCATATTTTGTATCAGAATTATTCAAACAATATTCGTTTGTATCGGAATTCTTCATTAAAAATATATGCGAAAAGTAGAAGAATGAAGCATCCATCTTTGAGAACAATTTATTTATTCAGCGCTAAGCATGACAATAAACGTGAAACAAAGGTTAGTAAGCAATGGACTGGACAGATCTACAACCAATATCACTTATACGTGTCTCGCTGGTTGCATGCAGTTGTATGTATTATGTTTTCAATTCCCATTCCTTTCGAATTATTTTGTAGGTTAGCAGGAATAGCAGGTATGTTAATTAATGTAATTTTTGGAGCTCGTAGAAAAATCATAGTATGTAACGCGTTTATAAACTCTTCTAGACACTCGTTTATTAAACACTCGCTCCGCTCTGCTCCGCTCGTGCTTAAACTACTCGTTACTAAAAGGACGTTTATAACACTTGTTACATAATATACTATTATGATGTTCGTCTTAAAAGTGCTCTTTCCGACTTTCCGAGGCTCTTTCATATTGTGAGAATGAAAGTTTGGGACCGGAACCTATAATTTCTGCAAATACAGACAAATACTCGGGCAAATATAATATTGAAATCTTCCGATCACAGCCTCGATCACAGCCGACTCTATAACAAAGATGGCTATGTTCCGTGGTACCAATCTTCTTTCACAGCCAATTTGAAATTTGAACCAAGTTAATAGGTACGTCTCGAGGTACGTCTTATATTATGTCTTGGATGAACTCTGGATCTGATTCAATCAAACACATGAATGCGAGCATGAATGCATTGTTCATATAAAGAGATAGATATGGAATTGGTTCAGAATGGACTTGATATAGGTACTGTCAATTCGATCAAACTACTTTCATGATTTAAACAAGCTGCTTCACTGGAATGATCATGTATGATTCGACACAAATTTGCCCAGCCCAACAAAAATAATTCAAGCACAAAATAATAATTTGTTGAAGTAACAAATCGTAACAAATCCTTTTTTTTTTCGTGTAGTTCGAATGTTGAATCATTACACCCAGTGCGTTGTTTTAATCGGCAAATACATCCTCCTGCCCCTGTAGCACATGGCATGTGGATTTTCTTGGATATTCCTCGAACTGAAGATTTTGCGAGATTTCGTCCTTCATGATGACATGGAGTGGAAGGTTACCCTCATCGATTTTCTCAACTATCTAATAGGTACGTCAAACCATAATAATCCCAACATCTGACTGATTTTCGGTGCCCCCTGGTTTAATATGATCAGTGTCAATACAGTCTCTGTACCCTTACATAGATCACCCGGTATATCTCCACTTATATATGTATTGTAGAATGTAGGTGTAACCATTTTTCATTTACCTCGCCATTTACTATTATAATTACCACCTCACTGAATATCAAAACACATCAACTACCAGTCTTATCGAAACTACGAAATGACATTTTGTGGCACTTAGTAGGTATTAGTCGAGGTATTAGTAGGTATTATCTCGCGATCATCTATATCTTGAACCCTGCTGACATACATTTCGAGAAAGTATAAACAATCTTCAGAACAGAGAGACGAATGTAGGTAGGTAGGTATGTTGATGTTTATGCTGGTATTTATTAGAACTCTAACCTAGCCGTAGGTGATCAGGGCCGGGTTCAAAGGTGAGGGACCCCTTTCGAGGTATGCTCTCAAGTCCTCAATGAACATGAGGTACTATTCGAGGTTTTATTATTATTACGCATATCATTCGGAAAATCTAAATCATGGTAGGTAAGGGTTGATACGGGTTGATTCTATTCATCTTGTGAGAAGCATTTCAGGGATCAACTCGGAGCGCCAGCTCGGGGTTGACAACTTTTATAAAAATCTTCATGTGCACTTGCTACACCATGATATTTTTAATAAAAACCTCGTAAGTAAAAAATCCACGACTCTCATCTCAGTGGCAATCACTAATAACCTCGCTAATAACCGAATATTGCTAAATCCACGTTTTTCGAAGGTGATATGATTGTAGGGCAAGTCATCGATAACGATGATCGATATTTGAATCAAAATCAATAATCAACAACGAGTTGGATGTTCTGTGTCCAAAGAGCAAAAAACAGAGACAAAGCATTGACAAAGTGAATAAAATGCGTTGAACTGAAGGGAGAAACCAGACAGGTGGATGCACCTCCATATCACCATCATTATATCACCGAACATAAACGTGTCCATATTAGAGATCTGACCAATCAAAAAATTTAGTCGTCATTCTATTTTCATAAAGCGAGTCATAAGGTCACTAGTGAGGTCAAGGTTGGTAGAATTGACAGGAATACTACCAAGGGAGTACCCAGGAGCTGAACTAGGGGGGGGGGCAGCTCATAATATATGTTTCGAGGAAAGGATGCGGAACTCCCGGGATTCCCGGGAACTCCTCGGGGAACTCGGGAACTGAAAACTACTGAGAAACTGTATTTATCACTGGAGATATTTTTCCAAATATTCTTCTAGATTTATTTTCTGCCCGACAAGTAGGAACACTATAATACTTAATTATTATTGATACTTGACTTGAACCTTTCGAACAGTTCTTGCCATCTTGCCAAAATAAATCCGGCCCTGGTGATTCTCATCAACTCGACATTTTAATTTAACAACGTAGGCATAAAAATTTAATAATTGAAACTAAAAAATTTTAAAGAGTTAATAAAGAGGCGAGGTGGTGCTCGTGTATTTTATACAGATTAATAATTATGCGCTAACAGAATAAACATTTGAGATGAGTGAGAAACTGCTCAAATATCAGCTTCAGCTATTTTCAAGCCAGTTGAGTAGGAAAAAATAAAATAAATGTATCAAATTACATACCCATCAAGTCATAATAAACACATAACCTAACTAATGTCACTGACCTTTTCCTTGGCCCTTCCTGCATGTTTTTGTACAGATTTCGCCAACAGACTTCCTCTACTCTCAGCCATGTCTATAAAAAAACCACACTCTCCTAGTTTTGTCACAAATTCACACACAACTTTACTGGAATCCCGTATGATGTAATTTTGAGTTCGAACATTCACACACCCGGCCGTACCTCACTCTCGCTGATCTCTCACTTCACTGGGTTACTTTTAGATTTTGACTGGGACTGGACCTGTTTTCCAGTATTCTTTCGGCCCGCTTTTGCAGGTCAGATCCCAAGTTCCTCGCGATCGCAGATTCGCAGACACTCATAGACAAGTAGACAACTATAATACAGCTGACTACTAAACTAAAACTAGTGACGAGTGACTGAAACAGGTGGCATCGACACAGAATCGAGCACTGGGAGTGGTAACTGGGTTTCAGTTTATACTAAATAGATGGCGGCAGGGTATTTAGAAAAGTTAAAAAATATGCAAGATATATTTGACATATCAGATCACTGATCCATGATACATTCGTTAGAATGAAGTTAGAATAATTGATCCATGATACCTCACGAACAAAATCTTACGAACAAATCAAAGCGCTGATAAGGCCCTCGGCCAGAGCTGACTATCTAGTCAGTCCTTTGAGATGGCGCCACCAATATAAATCCAGTTGTTTTCATTTATTTCTAACATTAGTAACATTAGCTTACTTATCTAACCATCTGAAGCATCAAGTACGTACTCAGACGAACTGAATAACTTGAACAAATATGTAGGAAGCCAATAAGCCATAACTTAATTACCAATCACGAAAACTACTGGACTGGACTTACTAAACTGCTCCAACATACAAAAGTAGACAACTAGACATGGGCGTCCGCAAGAAGAATTTAGGGTTCTAAGCACAATCATAAAACGTTGGTGTAAACTACTTTTTAGGAATGATTACAACATTCTTCACTGTTCATAAAAAAGAATAGGACACCAGAATCTAAAATAAATTGAAAAAATGGCATTCTAACACACATCATCAGTCATCAGTCACAAAACTATAAGAGATAAGAAATAAATTAGGAAAGTAGAGTCCAACCCTAATTTCTGAATGCCAATTAATTGAGCTTATTTGGAAAAACTGAAATAATACACTATATAATATATACGTGCCGATTTATCAACTTTATTCTTTGTTGCTTACGTTAAAAAAGCAAATTCTAAATTCTTTATAGCGTTAAATATTCTTGGTTGAACTAAGCTACGCGCGTGTTATGGAATAACCATCCATCTTTCCCCACTTTTGTTAAGAGAAAACTATTTTACTACTTGTATATTGAAATTTGTAGTCTGATCAATTTGGTCATCATAACAAATCGGAATCGAAGGTGGATATTAGATTATGATTATTTAAATTGATTCCAATATTATAGGAGTACTTAATATATTTAAATTACAACATAATGTGTGGTTGAAAAGATAATGATAATCATATTAACATCGAATCTACGTCGATTACATGTGTCAACGAGATATTTCGTTTATGTTAGGTTGTTACATCACACCAGTGGCGTACCCAGAAGTATTACTTGGTGGGGGGATATAAATTTTTTTCTACAAATCACATTTTCATCTATGGATAATTGGTATCTACAATAGTTTTGAGCATTACGGAAGATCCTCTACTACCTTTCTATGAATCAGATAGTATGGCTAGTCAATTAATCCTCACTTGGGCTGTAGTATTATACCTGCTTGAATACATGTTGATGCCTTTCAAAGGATATTTTTAATGTCGCAGCAATGTATGCATAGGCTGTCCCATTTCCGATGTCCTCACGGAGTATCTTACTTATTTTTTAAGATAATCCCGTCAGGACATCGGAAATGGGACAGCCTAAACAAAATATTTTCATAAGTTTGTGCTCATTTCGGTAGACATATCGTATACAAATTTCCAAACGTTTGTTTTTATAATTTCCAAACATTTATTCCAATGTTCGTGTCACATTTTGATTTTAGCTTCGATTATAATTTTAGGAATATTGGGTAAGAATATTCATCATCTTTGATTTTTGTTTGAAAAAATCGTGATAAATCGCTTTGTTCCATCATTATGCATTTCTACAACTACACTTAAGGTAGGTGAACACTCACAAAACACTACACGACCGCCAATAGTTGAAATCGAATGATTGACTAGTCGTAGAACTCATTATTTAAACAAAAGAAACCGAACAAATAATATCGGGGAATCAAGGTAGGAATAATCACAGACCAAGAACGAAAATCCAATCAAAAGCTGAGGCTGTGTAACTGTCAAGGCATTCGTCAGACCACAGTGGTGATACCAATGATACCAGAATGGTCATTTAGCTGACTCGACTCCCATCAAAAGTTACCGTGATAATTTTGTGGGCAGGTTTGAAACGTGACCGATATTCCCCAACAGCTGGTAGGTCAAACTGATGGTCAGACTTCATACTGATCGTATGTGCCAGGTCAAACCACAGACTTGACACAGCCTGAGACAAAAACCTAGAGTGCACAAAAACCGAAAATGCGCAAGTGCATACGCTCTTAAGCTACTTTCACACAACGACCAACGACACGGTACCTTTGTGAAGATGAAAATGTAATACGTGAATAAAGGTGGTGGTGGTCTGTTTATCGGTACATCGGGGGGATATATGTGTTGTATTGTAATTTAATATATAATATAGAAGAAGCTGCAAATCATACAAAAATACTTCGATTAAAGAATGATGCTTCTTATTTATTTTACGATCGGATATCAGAAGATCCCATGGACCACGAAGATACCCTGCAAATGGAAAAGTATGCAAATTATGTGGAGAAAGAAATCACTTTGAAGTTGAATGTGGAAAATATTTGCTTCAATTGTTTAATTATACTTCAGTAATACTCTTATTTTGTAAAATTGCTATTTCCAACCATTTAGAAAAATAGTCACATACAACCATGACTTACTTGACATGTACATTGCTGAGGCTGTGTTGCCAACCCTGATAACATGAAACCCAAATATCTAACAATATAATATCCCCCTTATCCTCACCGTAGCGTATAAGTACGCGGTACGCCACTGATGTTGATGTCGCACGATATAGATGGCTGGATATTATTATTACTACTTGCATCTACTTTCGTTCTTAATTTTTCAACTGTTTATATTGGTTTTAGCTTAGTATTATTCAGATTGTCGCTATTGTTTGGGCAGTGTATACTGAAAATATTCAAACATTCTCTATCCTCTATCTGTTTGATATGACTTGAGTGATAATAATATATTATCTGTGTTGAAATACTTGTTATACGACCTATCATTGATTGAATAATATAGTAACCCGATATTCCATCTGTGCGTTACAGTTAGGTACAGCTTTTCTGAAAGATGGCAAGTCAAGGTTTGGAGAGAAAAATTTCAATAGTTGGCAGGTAAAATACATGAATTGACATTATGCTTATTTTGAATATATCAATCCCACGTCGACACATTTATTATATAATGATAATAATAACAATAATAATAGGTAATATTAATAATAATTTAATAATTATATCATATCGTAATATGAATCTTTTACGATTTCTGTATATAAATATCGTAAAAGCTAGGATAAAGTGTGGAACGTTGAAACCAAATCAAAGTAGAAGAAGAAAGGTGATTCAAGAGTAAGCGGCATCCTTCGATCAAAGGGCGTTATTCCTTGCATGAAAATATGGAGCTACGCCTCTGTGGATAGGACACCTCAAAGACGATTTTTTCTCTATAACTTTAAAACCCTTCACAATACATTTTCGAAAACTGGTGAACGGCATGAACATTTGATGGTTAATAGGACTCTGGATTCAAAAATTCAAAATGTTATTCAGGGGTGTCACGGGGAAGGGTAAGTGTAAAAACATCCCTCCTTCTTTCGATATGCAGGTTATTGTGATTTCGTTAGAAAATTATGAAATTCTAGAGTTTTTTACGTAAAAAAGGTACTCCTAGGTCATTTAGATAGAACGTACCATTTAGGAGAAAATCGACTTTGAAAACTTTCTGATTTGTGTAAATTACAATAAAACCTGAATATCAAAAGAAGGGGTGTTTTTACATTAACCCCCCTCCCGCATGTGACGCCCCTGAATAAAATCCTGCAATTTTGAATTCAGAGTCTTCATTTACCTTCAATTTTTCATGCCGTACACCCATTTTCGAAAATTTAATGTCAAAGATTTTGAAGTTACAGAGAAAAATTGTCTTTGAGGTATCCTACTATGCAGACCCGCAAAGAATTATCTTCGCCATTGGTTTGGAGAAATTCTAATAACCACCAATTGTCTCGATGGTGATAGCAACTGGCCAGCTGGGTCACCAGATCTCACCCCACTTGATTTTTATTTGTGGGTCTACTTGAAACAACAGGTTTATGAGTCGCCAATTGTGAATATGGAAGAAATGAAAGAGAAAATCACAAATTTATGCGCACAAATTGATCGCAACGTGATACATAGGGTCACAATGAACGTTATCAAAAGAGCTAGGAAATGTTTGCAGCAGAATGGACGACATTGAGCAGTTGAGGTTTTTATTATTTTCTTTCCATACCATTTCAATCGAGTTATATTGATAAAATATAATCATATAAATTTTTTATTGAATCGTTTTATTTTTTTCCATATCTTTGTAGTCGTTTGAAAAAATCTCATCAAACCCGGCATTGCTGAATTTGTAATAAAATGTACTCTACTTGAATATGGAGCAATATACTGGGTGTTCTATTCAAATAGAGGAAAGTTTAGGTGCACTTCGGTGTGACCCTGTATACCTACGATTCATTCAATAGCATATTTCGAGTGAGCATCATCAAATATACTGGGTGACCAAATTTCAAGTCATTCGATCGCGCGGTTGATTTTTTACAGCGAGGGACATTTTAGCTGGGACACGGTGTATAATATACCTATACAATAAGGTTAGCCTGAAAGGCTCAAAATATGAATAACCAAACATATGTACATACATCAATATGTATATCATATATCGGCCTCATATCATCACTTCGCTTCTTATGAAAATATGTTGTATTTCTTTATTGTTCTGTCAATAATTTTTGTTTCGTAACTTTTACGAAGGCAATAGGTACCTAGTTGGTGAAATGGTTCTTTCTGATGAGTTTTACATACTGATGATTATACTTTCGAAATAACCCTGTATATGTTTCAAATAAATTTTAATATTCAATGCTACAAAAACTGAAGAGCCGTTACACCCGGTATAAGCTAGTAAGAACCAGTTGGGTACTAATTTTGTTCTAGTGGTCTGATAGGACGATCATGGGCAATGATTTTTGCTTCGGCTGGGTACTCCGTATCTCTGTACGATATCGACCAGAAGCAAATTGAAACTGCACTTGCAGATATCGAACAACAGCTGAAAACACTGGAAAAAGGAGGACTTCTGAGAGGAACCACTTCGTCTGACCAACAATTTGCTTTGATAAAAGGTAATTAGTTATATTTATATTTATACCAGAGTAGTGGTACCACCTGTGGGATACCGCTATAACCGGTGATGCTATATCGGAGGATATTTTAAATCATATGCATCATGTATTTCTTTTGTTATACGAAATTAAAGCTAACTTATGCATTCTATAGCAAGAAGTTAACCTACTGAACATATTTGCACAAAACACTTTCAAAAGTTTGCACGGTTATTTAATAACATATAAAACGGTTATTTTATAACATATAAAAGTTAAGAACGTAGCCGCGGCAATATATGGCTTCCGTCATCAGAGATCAACTGATGACCTGCTCGCTTACGTCTCACAAAATATATGGCAGCAATCTATTGAAAAATATGGTGAGACCGTAGCCGTAACACTTGATATCTCCAAGGCATTCGATCGAGTCTGGCACCACGGACTCCTCGCCAAGCTTCCATCTTATGGCTTGCCTCCCCAGCTATGTTCTCTGCTAGCAAGTTTTCTCTCAAACAGGTCTCTCCATGTAGTGGTCGACGGAGTTCCATATCTGAGTCTCTTATCATAAATGCTGGTGTTTCGCAAGGATCAATTCTGGCACCAACACTATTTCTACTCCATATCAACGATTTGTTGGAAGCAACTTCATGTCCAATACCCAACTTCCCTACCGCCTTCTCTTCCAGGGCCCCAATACCAGCAAGGCAAATCAGAAACGAACAAGGGACATCGCAGCGATGGAACGTTTGTGATATCGCACTGTTTCCTTAACGCGACATATTTCAGAGATGTCATGTCACAGATGTGTTGGCTGGGCTGTAGGTGGTATAAATATACCATAATTCCTTCCAATTTTATGTTCAAATTACTTTGATTTAACAATATAGGACTGTTTAAAGCAGGGGTGTTCAGACCTTTAGAGATTATATTGTGATCTACCAAAAAAAATTAAGGTGACAAACGATCGCTACGTAAGACTATCGCAATTTGAAGTACCCTGTTCAAAATAAAACGAAACATATTTATGAAAATTAATTATTATCAATATTTATGAATTATACTTGTATAAAGTTGAACATCTGATAGAATTGAAATTTTAGTTTTGATTGATTATTATTTATTTTTTCGAGATCGATTCCAGAAGCATTCGCGATCGACCGTCGATCGCGATCTATTGTTTGAGCACCTCTGGTTTAAAGACTATTTTTGTGGGCTTCAATGAATTTTATTTTTTATAGGAACGATAAATTTGCAAGAATCCGTTAAAAACGCCACCATTGTACAAGAATGCGTCCCAGAAAATCTCGAACTGAAAAGGAAAGTGTGGAAACAAGTCGACGAACTAGTCTCGCCAAATACCATCTTGTCAAGTTCAACATCAACCTTCATGCCATCCAAACTCAGTGATCATCTCAAAAATAAGTTGGTATAATATTATTAGTACAAAAATTTAATACCAGTCATTTACAACCAATCATCAGATGGTTCATTTCGACAGTGTTACTATGGTAACATTGGTAACAAGCACATTTTTTCAAAAATTTTCACCCACATGAGCATGAGCAAATCAATTATTTTTATTTAATAATGTATCTGTATATATTTCAGTTTCAATTGAAAAATCTAAATTTTGAGACGGCGAAATAGCAGTGGTTGAGGCGTTCGACAAGTAATCATCAGAACATCGAGAGGTTGCTAGGTTCAGCTCCCCGGAAGGGAAGAGAATTTTACTTCATAAAACGCGTTATAAATTATAATTTTCGTTGCCTTGGCCGGAGATAATTCCGCACGATTCGCTGTTGCGTTCCAATCAACAGTGCTGCTCCTAAGGTGGCATATGGAGTTAGTAACAAAACCTATACAGAACACTAATGAGCTGAAGGACCTCTGGTAAGGTCGATATGTACATACATATACCAACCAACTACATATACCACTACTACTAATGTTTGTTCATTGCATTTAAATATGTACTTCGTTGGTATGTATGTACAAACCAACTGCGGCCATCGACCTTACGAGAAGTCTTCCAGCCCATGTGTGTTCTGTGTAGGCTTTGTTACTAAATCGGCCAAAAAAAATAGGCAAATCGTCTGACTCAATAAAATAGGTATGACAGAAATTCGGTTGTCAATCGGAGAATCGGATGTTTTTCCTTGTTCATCGTTTGTATCCCTATTCGAAAGTTAAGACGAGCCTCCACATTTTAACGCTGACCTTCTGGCAAGATGTCACTACGGTGAAGAAATCATAAATTAATTACGCCATCTTGAAAATTCAATGCAGAGCTCTTCAATTTTTCATTTCAAGATAGGTGTAGTAGCTCAGTTCGAACAAGTTCGATTTGTAACCAAGTGATAGCGGAGGACCAGGGTTCGAATCCCGTGGAGGTCGTCTTTTTTATTATTTGAATGTATCGGCAGACATGTTACTGGCCCTGATGACGGCCAGAGTCTTCTATTGGTACTGGCCCATCAATTTTCACAGGAACTTTGTCGTTCTGGCCAATTCTGGCCAGCATGAAGCCGTACCAACTGGCCATCGACCTCCATTGAGTTCCTTCAGCCCAACAGTGTTCTGAGATATGATGTGTTCTGTGTAGGCTTTGATATTATACCGGTACTCCATACGCCACCTTACTCAGGAACAGCACTGTTAATTGGAATGCAACAGTGAATCGTGCAGGACTAATCAACAGAATGAAACATTAGTGTTGATTATTTTTCTGTTTCTGCAAGTCCGATATACGGGGGGAGATAGCGACACTTTCCTATGGGGAACTTCTAGACTGCTATCCACAGCAACTGATGCATCCAAGAATTTTCCAAATATGTACAGTGTGACCCATTTAAAATGGAACCACCCCTGTTATCTTACGTAATCGTTGGGTAAGGATCCTGAAATTTGCTGGAGTGAGAGATATACCAAAAATGCACTCTATGACCAAGTGGAGTCATCTTCAGTGATATACACTGCTCGCCAACAGCCATGAAACCACCCCAGTTTCCGGAAATTGATATTAGGAGTCAAAATAGGTTGGGAATCACGTCGGATTCGGAATCAGGATGCCCAAGTTACTAACTATTCAAAGTTTTCGTAGAAGATTTTCAGTTCAGTAAAATTAAAATTTGTCTCACTTCTTATGGAAGCATCCCCGTATCTCACGTAATTATTGAGGTAGAGCAGAGATTATATCTCTGGGTAGAGGGTTCTGAAATTTGCCGGAGGAAGAGAAAGTCCAAAGATAAAGTCAATTACGTGAGATACGGGGTGCTTCCATAAAAAATGCGACAAAATTTCATTTTTCCGAACTGAAAATTTTCCAGGAAAAATTTGAATAGTTAGAGTAAATTGGGTGTCCTGATTCCAAATCTGAAGTGATTTTCGACCTATTTTGACTCCTAATATCATTTTCCGGAAATCGGGGTAGTTTCATGGCTGTTCGCGACCAGTGTATATCACTGAAGATGACCCCACTTGGTCATAGATTTGTGGTATATATCTCTCGACTCTCGCTCCAGCAAATTTCAGGATCCTTACCCAACGATTACGTAAGATACAGGGGTGGTTCCATTTTAAATGGGTCACACTGTATATGAGCAAGAACAAATCATCATGAATTATGTTATTCTTATTTTTCAAGGGCTAATATGATAATATCGCATCCAGTTAACCCTCCATACTATGTCCCAGTAATCGAGATAGTACCAGCCCCTTGGACTGATCCGGAAATAGCCAGAAGAACCAGAGACATCTGGACTGAGGTCGGACAAACTCCGGTGTCTCTCACAAAAGAAGTACCTGGATTCATCATCAACAGATTACAGTGAGTTCGCCTTGATCTTTCAAAACAGCACCCCTCTCAACATTCTCAAGAATCTTAAAACTTCTCTGGCATAGTTCTTACAAATTAGACACCCTTATAGAGAACATTCTGATTTTGGATTAGTTTTTTTTTCATGCTTTGGACCGCACGAAACGGAATTCCTATTATGTTCGTGGAACGTGATGTGGAGGATAGAGAGATAAACGAAGACGACATATTCACTGCTTTGGAAATATTTTCATGAAATGAAAGCATCAGAATTATTGACAATAAAAACAGCAACTTTTCAAAAATGCACTCATGTCATGTCGAATTATTTTCAATTAATTCTCAATGTCTTCTGGTATTACCTACAACTAACATAATATATGTAGATTGTAGAGGATGTCCCGAGTTCGAGGGGTACCATTGAGATCTCGGTAACCATAACCGTTTTATAACAGATACAAAGTCGGTGAAATCACAAATTTGGGAAAAGTTGCGCAATGTGATGCTGATCAAAATGCCGCATCAGAAGCTTGAAAATTCCGTATACTTCCAAAAATATTTGAAAAGAAACGATTATCCGCGATTTTGTTTGTTTTTTCAAGACTTTATTTGAAGTGATATGACAAAATTAATTTAAGCCACTTTTTTCGCTCTATCCTATGGTATTAATAGATTTATGATCCAACGTTTCGTCTTCGAGGTGCCATCATCATGTATGTGTTTTCAAATGGTCGAAAAAAAATTATTAGGATTTGAAATTCTCTAATTCCAATTCTGAATCCAACGACATGCAATTACAATTATCCAACGTTTCGAATAAAATATCGATCATTATTATTATTATTATAGCATCTTGCAAATATATAAGTATTCAATGAGAGAATCATTTTAGAGACCAGGTCGAACTATATTGTTTTCTGTGAATGTGAATACTGTTGTCATTGGTCCGGAATTCAGATAACGATGACTTTCGGTTCATGACGTCATCGAAGCTGGCTTTTTTGAGGGTGCCCAATTTCATTGAATGATCAATATAAAATAGGTTTTTGGCGTCAATTCCACTAGTGTGTACAACCCCATTTAAATGTATATGGGAAATGAATTCTGAGTTTATCAAACTTTGACATCGTTGTATTTTCGCACATGATGTTGATATCTTCTGACTTTGAAGAAAAAATAGTCTATTGTGCAACAAGCGGGAAAAGTGCTTTTCCCCACATGTTGCACACTATATACTTTTTCTACAACTGCACTTATTCAAAGAATCCGAGTGATGTAACTTATTGCTATTCATTTCATAATGTGGCACTATGTCTCATTGAATATTGTGAACAAAGAGTAGACGCCTTTCCTAGTTCCTCAAAGTATTTGAAAACTGTACACTTTTCGAAAAAGATTTAATTTCTGTGTTCTTTTAGATTCCATAAATTTTTCTTACATGCCAATTCATACTTTTTTCTCGAAATTTCCGGAAACAAATCCAACTTTTGCAGTTTTTTTCATTATCTCTGTCTCTGATGACGGTGTATTTATCAAAATCGTCCCATCCCGGTATATACATATCATATCATTTATTATGAATTGTTGGAATAATATTTGATGGAAAATGCGATTTCTATCAAAAGCACCAATGCATGAGAACTACCCTAACGAATTTAAAAAAACTTCTTCTGACAGTTGTGACAACTATTCAAAGCTGAACAGCAGCCAAGTTTTGGTCGATTTTTGTTGATTATCCATGGAAATGTATGTGGTGTTGGCAAAGTGCCGTGAGAAATAGTTATTTGTTTAACTAGGCAGTAAAGTAGTAGATTGACTGCCGAGGCTGCATTCATAGCCGAGCGTATAGCGAGGCTAGGAATCCAGCTAAGGCAGTCAATCTACTTTGCTGCCGAGTTGAACATATAATTTTTTCTCCGATTGTTCATAATGATATATATCTCTTTATTTTTCCTGTAGTGTTCAATAAAAATAAAATTTGATAGAAATCACAGTTGTTGGAATGGTTGGTTGCTATGGAAATGTCCATAATAATTATAGTTTGACAATTCATGAAATTTCTGACAGTTGTGCGATGAAATATCGGTTAATTTAAATTATTATATAATGGACAGTGATAACGACCTGGAAGTACTTACACCTCCAGAAATAAGGCAGGTGGCAAAAAATATAGAGTTGAATTTGTTGCCGGAGAAGTCTCGGATGAAATATGAAGGAAATTATAAACGATTTATGGATTATTAATTTTCCTGATACATATCAATCAGCAAAGTACCTACTTTGCTGCTTAGGCAGGAAAAGTAATACTTTGCTGATTGAAATGTGTCAGCAAAATTAATATTTGCTGCCAATCGGAGAAAAAATCTTTATCCAAATGTCTCTACTTCCAGATATGCTTTGTTGAACGAATCCTGGCATCTAGTGACAGAAGGCGTCTTGGACGTCAAAGACCTGGACAAAATCATGTCCGAAGGTCTCGGGATGAGGTATGCATTTTTGGGAACGTTGGAGACCACTCATCTGAACGCGCAAGGTTTCGAAGACTACTGCAGGTAAAGACAGCTGAAATTTCAGAAAATTCAGAATAAAATTCTTGATTCGAAAATTTCAACGGAAGATTTGACTCAGGGCGATTCAAATTTGGAAAATAACTTCTTTGCGGCTAACACTATACATTCGGGGATAAGAAAAAACTTTCAGTGTTAACTTTTGTTTTCGTTGGAAAGGACCCCGCACTTTTTCTTTATAATAATGGCGTTTTCATCTGCCCATATCTTCAAGAAAGGACGAATGAATTGGATTTTTTTGCTAACAGGTTTTTAGTTCAACCTTTGGATAAAACAAACATGTATAGAATCAACAATAACTGGTCTTCATCACAGGGTGATTCACATCTGAATTATTGTGTTATTTTCAAATACTAAATATCGATACCACAACTTGATGAAAATTACAAAATCGAAATTATCATTCGATATGTTCTTCTTACATCAAATGGATCAATTATATGTATTGCTCATACATGGTGATTCGTGCGATGAATGCTGATGTTTTGAGAATAAAGTTTATTGGCCCACCTCGTATTATTGGGTTGATTTAGGGTGTTGATTATAATTTCTGATGCATTTCATGGTATACAGAGTGGTTAATTGATTGCGAAAATTGCCATCTACAAAAAAATATCAAAAAACCACTGTTTTCTCCATGACCCTCTAATTCTAGATTTCCACCGTTGAGGTCAGATTTTTTTTCCATTAATATACTAAGTATGAATATCTCAATGAAATGGAAATTTTTTAGCTCTTTGCTATGACTAGTTTTCATTTATAGTGATTATAGAAAAGTGAATACCTACTAAGATGAACTTATATATTCACTCCATCAAAATTTCGAGTATAGGTACAAACAAAGTGAAATTTTCTCAAACCAATTACTGCAGGGCCTACTCCAAAACCATCCATGAAGTCAGCAGCGATTTCAAACCCACGCCCAAGTTCGAGGGGCCCCATGTCAAGGAAATCGCAAGACAGCTCGAAGCTGAAGTGCCTCTGGATAGACTACAGGTGAATTATCTCGACTCTCGACATACCGTACAATCGGGATACTTGAGATACTTTTCAGATACAAATACCAATGACGGCTAAATATCAAGTAAGCTGCCGACAGGTCGTCAGCTTACTTGATATCTTCTTGCCCAATCAGCCAAAGTACGTCTTAAAGGCGTCTTTAAGACGTACATGTCGGGACATAAGGACGTCTCAAAGACGTACATATTACGCCCAAGAGACGTCTTTAAAACGTACATTTTCCACTAATATATATACGTCTTTAAGACGTCTTCAAGTGCTAACCGCGCTCTTTGTTGCTTGACTTCGATGATTATACTATATCCACTTCTTCTGTTACTCTGTCTGTTCTATTTATCACATAACAAACTTTTACTTAGTTTAACATGTCCTTGTGTCTGTTTGTAATCAAAACTTGCAAGTTAATTTGACTCACTTTAAATCGTCCGATTGATTTGAAATTGGGCAAGTGAATATTATTCCGGTGACAATTCGTTAATGGGGAAGACCACTGAGGGAAGAAATCCCTGCAAACCTCTTTCAATCGACGAATCCTGATTTACATTTTATGTACAATCAATATTATGAGTTGAAGTTGAAGGGAATCGAATCTATATCGTTTTGAAATCAGCATATTTCTTTCGATATTTCAAACAGCCAAATATGATGGTGGAGTCGTGACGTATCAGTCCCGAACTGTAGCTATCTCTCTCTGATACCTCGTCATTCTGCAGTGTTGCAGTGCAATTGGTCGGTTCAAGGACAATAGGCGTGTTGGCACTAAGACGTCGCACCAGTCACACCAATGAATTGATGAAATTTCAAATGGCGCAGGAATTGTGTGTTTTGAAATGGACATAATACTAATTTATTTTTTTCATCGCCTTAGCATGAATGAAAAAAATCAAAATTAATTCACTGGTAGTTTTTCAGTATAGAGTTCACGATAATGTCGTTTTAAAAAATCAGTGGTCTTCCCCATTGTGACATTATTATTGAATGGAAAAAACAGAATGGCGGATCCAATATGGCGGACGATTTTCTTACTGATTATGTTCCGATTCGAATCAAAATTGGTATCTAGGGGAGTTTTGGGTTGGAGATTATTATTCTCTCAAGATGGCGACTCCAATGTGGTTTTCTGATTATGGTCTGATCCGATTCAAAATTGGCATCGGGGGGTTTTCGGGATCAGAGATTATAATTCCTTTTGTCGAAAACGAAAAATCCAAGATGTCGGCTTTAAAATGGCGGACGAGTTTTGTGATTATAGTCCGATTTTATTCAAAATTGATTACTACATGGGGCTTTTGGGGTCGGAGAATATTTTTTTTTGTAAAAATTCAAGAATCTAACACGAAGGCTCCAAAATGTCGGACGAACAAAATTTAAAAACATCACTTGTTGAAAATAAGAAAAAACTGAACAATTGAAAGTAAAAAGCGTGAAGAGATGACTTCATTTTCTCCAGAAAATAACTTACATTATTGTTCTATAAGTCGTCTTTTATACGACATGGGAGGAACGATGTGGATACAACCTAAAATGTACGTCTTAAAGACGTAAATTCGTGTACGTCTTTAAAACGTACATGGATTTACATCTCAAATACGTACTTTATACGTCCCTGGACGTAAAGACGTAAGTAAGATGTAAAATGAACGTCTTTAAGATGTCCAAACGCCCTCTACGGAGACTGAGGCAACTGATATATTAATTCTTTCAACTGTGATCGAGCGCTAATTCACTCTGTCAGAAATCATGTATCATTCATCTCTGTCTGGAATAGTCTTGTTTCAGTATTAGGGTTTTGACGTCACATCATCGCCTCGTTTTCAGAGGTACGAAAAATCGAGGATTTCAATAATTTTTTATAAAACGTAGGGAGCTCACTGCAAGAAACGGTTTGCGGTGGTGAGCTAGTTTGGGTTAGTTCTATCGAATTATGAAATAAAATTTTGTGATATAAGCCCATTGAACAATATTTAAACATCAATCACTTTCAATGGACTAGTATACTGTATAACCATACTGAACAACTATGCACAATACGATGTTTCAAAATAAAATCAGTTGCAGATTTCAGTTGGTAATTTGAAAATATTGTTATCCCCATTCTATGGTACTGAAACTTATCGGTCTTGTTCTTTGTTTCACTTGGTTCATGTGGAAATCATCACCTTAAGGTACATTTTATGGAATGAATCAGTGGAAATTTCAACTAATTTTGCTCAAAAGTCAACTTGCCATACATCACTGTATTGGAAAAAAAATCTTGATCAGAAAAAATATTCATTCAATTTTTCCATGTCATCATTTCATGATAAATCTATATTCCAGGAGAGAAGAAATTGGAGAGATGCCTGTTTAACGAAACTGAGCCAACTGAAGAAAGAAATGAACAAACTGAAGAAGTGAACTAAAATTTAAATGTTATGAACTGTGAAAATAAAGAATTTAAAGCATATCAAATTGAAACATTGTCTTACTGAATCACCATTACTTCTCAAGAAGTGAATTTTTTGTGATCTAGTTCCAAAAGTGTTAAAAGAAATTACAAGTTTTCTTCATGTTATATTAGCTGAATTGCTATATTTTTTAGAAATAATTTGATAATGAAACAAACTGCTTTACTAAAAATGTGTAATATAAACTGAAATTACAGTAGAGTAAAACGGAAATTAATCAATAAGATATACAGTATAAGACATTACACAATCTAGAACTCCTCTAATAATATCTGAAATATCTATATAACTAATATTTCTAAAATCTGAGAATAGATTTCAATCATTAATAACAAATACCAATAATCAAGGAATTTCATGCTATATATTTTGGAATTCCAAATTTTTCATTATTTAATATATTTTGTCATAAATTATGAACAATTAAACCGCAAATCTCATTGAAATGTATAACTATTAATCATTGCATTTATTATTTGAATATGTCATTCATTATTTGTATACAGTACCTATACACAAATCCAGGCACTATCGTGAAATATAGAAAAACTCATCCAGATGGAATCGCATTTTTTAAATTACTCTTTTATTGTCAGTTTGTTTGTCAAGGTCAACTATAATGTGAAAAAATATTTTGATAAAATCTATTCGTTTTTGTTTTATACGCAAAAAACAGATTTTGATCATTTTCATGTCTCCTCCGTAACTTCTTTATTTATGAAAATATTCAAATATGAATTTCACATTCTCATGGCAGTTTTTCAAAGTGACTTCGAAAAAAATATGAAATTTTTACCAACTCTCCTAGAATTTGAGATATCAGCACCAACTTTAGTTTTTCAAATGGAGGTCATAGCTCACTATGACTTAGTTACAAATAACTTTTTTTTCTCTTACAGATGATATGTCGCAGTAATAGTTTTGTGTTTATAACAACGGAGTTATCGTCATTTATACTAGAACAAAAAATTATTTGGAAGCCGCCATCTCGAATTTATTTATGAATTGTCACCGAAATTATGAACACCTGCCAAATTTCGAGTTAATCGGAGTTATGGAAATTTTGTTGAAAGTAAGAAAAAATGGCTGCTCCAAGATGGCGGACAAGATTTGGTCCGATTCCATTCAAAATTGGTAAGTGGGGGTTCATGAGGTCGGAGATCATGATATTTTTATTAAAATTTATGAATTCAAGATGGCGGCTTCCAAATGATTTTTTGTTTTTGTATCAACACAAAACTATTACTGCGACATATCATCTGTAAGAGAAAAAGAAGTTATTCGTAACTAAGTCATAGTGAGCTATGACCTACATTTGAAAACCTAAAGTTCGTGCTGATATCTCAAATTCTGGAAGAGTTGGTATAAATTTCATATTTTTTTCGAAATCACTTTGAAAAACTGCCATGAGAATGTCAAATTCCTATTTGAATATTTTCATAAATAAAGAAGTTATGGAGGAGACATGAAAATGATCAAAATCTGTTTTTTGCGTATAAAACAAAAAGAAATAGATTTTATCAAAATATTTTTTCACATTATAGTTGGCCTTGACAAACTTCACATTTGGTGTCATTTAAACGACCTCGTATCTCTCACCGTTAAAAAGATACCCATGGTGAGCATGGTAAGTGGGATACACTGTATATTATATTAGCCACACTCCAATTATTCATAAAAAAAATCAAACTGGAGAATATTATATTGAAGTTTCGTCTTATGAGAATTTGAACTTTCAATTAATTTCAAGACTCATGGGCCCCTTGAGTACAATTTATTACTGTTATTGGAAGAAATTACATTACATTTACCATTTTGAACATACTTACAGTATTCAGTAATGGATCCTAAATTTTCTCTGGATGATTTACAGATATACCAGATGTACATTTCTGTGGAACATCATCGTCAGTATTGTGCATGTTTCACGATTTAAAAAAACTCTGGAATTCCCTAATATTTCTTTAAATTCAATTTAGATTTTGTGCACACATTTTCCATTTGATACAGTAATAAAAATGCACATTTCAATTCCTCAATTATCAATACACCCATAATATATCAATATATCGTTAAGAACTTTGTGGACTTCACAAAACGAATGCAAGATGCTGAAAAGCATTAAGAAAGGCTATTTTCGGCGGACAACTGGGAAAACTAGTTCTATTATCATTTGTACTTTTTTTTGAATTGGGAAAGTGGAATTTTCTGCAATAAATGTAAAATATGTTGAATCCTTTTGATGTGGACTTTTTTTGCCTTAGCCATAATTCAAAATTACAGAAAACAAGAAATCAGTCAGAAAAGATCGTGGATGACTTCAAGAAAATTGAATAGGTAGTAGTTTTTCAATTTGCTCCTACACTTTTAACTGGGTGATTACTTCAAATTCCACATTGTTTTTTCTTTCGCTTGTATTGAACATATCACAACAAAACTAATTTAATTTTTTTTAGGTATTCTCAGATAATAGGAATTTGAGATGAGATACAACCTGGAAAATTTTCCTTCAATCACTGCTGGAATGTTCATATTTTTTTTGTCAATATAGTGCTTATTATCAGAAATGAAAATATTTTTTATTGTGTACCTTTTATTTCGTTTTGTCAATATCTCAACTAACATAACCCAGACCCCATTTTGCATAAATTATATTTGTGATATGCTAAAACTCGTTTTTTTCACAATTCGGCAAAAACCCATATTGAAAATAATATGGGTGGAAAAACAAACACACGGAAATGTTCCATTTCCATAATGAAAGAGGAATATCAAGTTCCCCTCCTAATTATATTAATTTAACTAATTTAACTGAGCTCAGTCTTTCAATAAAACAACTTCTATCCAATTTTCTTTCCATTAGAATTGTGCATCACCTTTTCTCATCTGACCAATTTGGTATCTAACCAACACACCATAACACCAATAATTCAATATCAGTAATGAAGAAACCATAACCCCAAAATAATTGAAGAAACGCCAATCAATTCTATGTAAAGAAATTTAATCTGTGAAAATTGTTGATAAAACACAAATCAATAAAAAAACAATAACTTACTCATATGTTATGTTAACACCCTATAACTACTAGACATTAGGTAATATGGATGTACAAAATATAACTATTCCTTCATTGACTTACTTTCTGGCTGCACTTTACTAGCATGAAAAATTCTATTCTTATTTAAAATTGATTTGTTGCTCGTGCTTGAATACGCGAAATCGAGACTATTTTAATTTAGAATTGCTCCTTAATTTTGAATTTAATATTTAATCTTTCTTTATTTTTGTAAAGTATGAAAACACAGCCAGGGATGATGACTTACTACGAAACGTCTCTTCTCACCATGTTAGAGACACGTCATTGGTCAGTAATAAAAAATGTCCATATCACTACAATTGATGATGCACTCATGTAGGCTTTAGTTTTCCTCTTCGCCCTCTTCCAGCTTCCTCTTCTTACCCCTCGAGACTGTAAGAGAAAATGTAATGGAAACTTGAAAAATCCATGGTCATTTGGCCTACTCACCATCCGCGTTGGCCGACTGCCCCGCTCCTCCCTCCTCAACCCCCTCTTCCTCCTCCTCCTCTTCCACCACCTCATCCTCGTCCTCCTCCTCGCCGGCCTCGTAGTCCCCCTCGTCGGACATGTCGTCGAGGTTCTCCGAGTAGACGGCCCCCAAACCGACGTCCTCCTCCTCCCCCTCCGACGAGCCCTCCTCGTCCTCCTCCTCTCCCCCATCGCCGTCCTCGTCGCCCTCCTCCTCATCCTCCTCGCTGTCGTCGTCGTTGCCGTTCACCTCCTCGTCGGCGTCGCTGTCCTCTTCGGCCTCGCCGTCTTGCTCGTCGAAGCTTGAGGAGAAACACGACGATGTTTCAGAATTTTGGGTGCCGGGAATATGATCGGAATCATTTGATCGAAAACCAATTGAATGAAAAAGCAATTGATCGAATTATATTGTGATAGAACTTGAGTTTGTTCGGGCGCCAATCAGTGTAAGTCAGGTTTGGCCACAGTATTCAATATACTGATGGCACGTTTGACTTGTTTGTTTACTTATTCTGGATGAGTACTCATTGAATCTATCATAAACAGAATGGGTTGCGTGCAAGAACTGTACATATTGTTCCTTTTTATTATGTTTAAATAAAAAATATTCACAAGAGTACCACAATCGCTGTGAATTATGAATTGGTTGAGGTACGTATCTCTCTTTTCTTTTGATTCATGTCTCATCACCATCACCCTACAATGTAAACCATTATTTTACAGAGCCAAAAAAATTTAATAAATTGACAAAGCCCATGGCCATGGGCAAAACGTTTTTTTCTACTTAATTCTTGAATTATTTATGAAACCGAATCCAAAACCCAAGAAAAAGCTGCAAATCAAAAACAAAATCCATTGTTTCAAAATGTTTCCTTTTGATTTGTGGATCATTGCTTATAATACATTTGTGTGAATAGTAATTATATTAATTCACACTAGAGGACATTTGAAGCAGCGAACGGGACAACACCGCTCGCACGACTTGTGGGCGTGGTCTTGTCCCTTCTCAGCATTCAGCACAATGTTGCCAAGTTATGGAGTATTAGAAATATTTGGACATGCTGGATGCTCCAAAGAGCGAAGAGCTCCGAAATTCAACAATTTCGAACAACGCATACATTCATTATTTACATGAAAAAAGTGTGAGGTGTTGCTAAAATTAATTTAGGTCCTAACGACACAGTACACACACATATATGAACTTCAGATACAAAAAAAATACCCCACGCATCACCATGTCTAATATGGCCTATGTATCAGAAATTACATTTCTGGGTGTTCATTTAGATGAGTTCGTGAGCTGGGACAAACACATAGATTTTATCAGTAAAAAACTCAGCTCAGCATTCTATGCCATTGTGCAATTGAAAAAAACATCGAATTTGAGTACTCTCATTAGTGTATACTATTCTTTAGCTTATAGTAATTTTTCATACAATGTCTGTCTATGGGGTAACGCTGTTAACTGGAAGAAAGTATTCATCAAACAGAAAAGAATAATGAGACTTATCTTTAATATTCCACACATGCAGGCATGCCTTTAAAAATAATAATATCCTAACCCTACCATCTATTCTCATATTTAAAACCCTCCTTTATGTAAAAAACAACTCACAAAGGTTTTTAAAACATTCTGATTATCATAGATATTCTACCAGGAATGATCATGATTTTGATATCACTAGACACAATCTATCTCGTACTGAAAAAACCCGGACTATTTGGGAATAAAACTCTACAATTATTTACCTCAAGAAATCAGAGAAATGAATTTTACCAAGTTCAAATCTAATAAAGCGCATATTGACTCAGGGCGCTTATTATAACATAAATGAGTACTATGAAATATGAATCTAGCTTGCTATAACGGCATAGTGTATTAAAGTGGTAGTGTGTACACCCCGAATTGTCAATTGGTGTTCTTTTACTCAAATTGTCTTTTCTTTTTACCTCATAATATGTCGATTTTATTCTATTCACCATATGTGTAAATGTTTTTCGTTTTATCCTAGGTGTAAATCTTAAATTGTAATTGTAATTCCCATTATCTTACGTGTAAATCATAATTTTAAATGTCTTTTCCTATGCTGCATACTTTTTTAAAATACTTTTTTTATAACTGACGTGTATATCCATTTTCGGATGGCTGCTGTATGCTAATACGAATAAACATTATTATTATTATTATTATTGAATGCCAATAATTCATTATAAGTCCACTCGCCCATATAAATTTGTGACATCTTGACTGAAAAATATTTAGATCACGAAAACAACTTTCATTATAAAAAAGGTAATGATCACAAGATTTTAAGGAATTTTGTGAAGTTCGGATAATTTTGGTAAAATTTGGGGAACTTCAAGGAAGTTTGAGGAAGCTCGGGGAAGTTTGGTGTACAAGTTTTTGGGCCGTCAAAACAACTTTCATTATAAAAAAGATAATGATTCAAAGATTTGAAGGAATTTTGTGAAGTTCGGATCATTTTGGGAACATTTGGGGAACTTCGAGGAAGTTTGAGGAGGCTCGGGGAAGTTTGGTGTACAAGTTTTTGGGCCGTTCTTGTCGTCTGTCTATTAGCTACAAGATAAACGAAGATTTGGACGCCTTTATTATACAGGATGTTTGAATATTACTGATATTAAATCAACAATTATTCAAGGAAACCCCATTTTTTCCACAATCCTTTCATAAGGAGGGCTTGAACGAACAAATTTTATTGGAACTTGCCATAATTTTTTCCGGTTTTCTCTGGATCCGAGAGATAACCCAGATTTGTCGGTTACAATACAATTTGACACTATTCTTGCAACAATATCCAAAATCACCTTCAGGATGATGGAAACATTTTCAATATTTATTGGGATTTTTTCAGGTTGATAAATAGCAATTTCTAGTCAAAATTAGAAAATTCACGAACAATTACATCATTTCTCTTATAAATTTATGATTTGGCCAGTATTTCATGCAGAACAGTTTTTTATTCCTATTCCAGTTCAATCATTCATCTTGGGGCCAGGTAGCCGTGCGGACAGAGTGTCCATATTCTAATCCGCATTCGCTTGCCGGTCGTGGGTTCGATTCCCGTCGACTGCAGAAATTTTTCTGATGGCCCAAGAAAGTGTTTGGGATCACACGTTAGAAGGTAAGGCCCCCGTCCCCGTCATTCCTTGCTCGAACAAGACTCTCGAAGACTTCTGAGGGTTGCTTGTAAGGGGGCAACCGAATGACGGATAGAACAATTTTTTTTTATTTATGAGAAGTTTTGTAAGGCCTCGGCTCGCCTATCAGGCTAGACAGTTTTTCGCCGAGGTGTATATTGAAATTTTTCGTCGACCTCAAACACCTATATTCACATCATGGTCCTATCCACCTAAATCTATCGGATTTCGTGAATGATCAACAAGACAAATGACAGCTGTTCAAATCACTCTCCGCGCGGACTAGGGTTGCCAGACCGATTTTTATTCCATCAGTAAGTACCTTATCAAAAATTTAGTGGATTTCAATAGATCTGTTTAATAAATATCTATTTAATGCTATATGAATACCAAGAAAGAATGATGAAATAAACCTATGAACTTCAAAGCATTATGTACTTTAAGTAAACAGAAAAGTAACCATTTCCAACAAAATAGAAACTACCAAAGAAATATTCTAATACAAAAATAATTATACTCCAAATTCTCAATTCAAAAATACTCACAAATATCACAAAATAAAGTTACATAGAAACTTATAAGATTTGAGTACCTATATAAAAAAAAACAGGAACAAATATTAAACATGAACAACAAAAATACTAAACAAATAAAAAAATTAAACATAAGAAATAAACTGTTATAACAGAGGTATATAAAAAATTGGATTTGATATTGATCAAATAAAGTATTGTCCTTTTTTGGTTTATACTGCCAAAATATAATGCAATTTATAAGAGGTGTATGTGATTCACTAAAGATTGATAATAATATGGGTAACTATTAAATAAGTGTCAAAATATTTTTCAGTAGATAAATATGTAAATCAGATCTACTAAAAATTCAGTAGAACTGGCAACTGTGTAGCAGACAAAGTGTCTGCTGAAGAAAAGTACTTGCCCTCGGAAATAGTTGATTTTTTGTTGGAAAATTATAACAAATATGATTTTTTGTGTAGGTTGACGAAAAATGCAATTTTCACCAATGAAGGTAAAAGCATAATTACACAAATCATTTTTTCAAATTTGAGGACAGGGGTTATAGTCTTCATTTGCTGACAAAAAACAACTAGTTGAGTTGACTAAGATAAATCTGAAAGGAAATGTTTTTACAAAATGTAGAAATAATTCATATGGCTTTAGTTTGATACAGACACAGAATGACAACTGTTAGTGTTTAGATTTATCAAGTTACACACCTTTCATTGTGACAAGAGCACCATAGTTGTCTTGTGCTTTTTCATTCAAAAATGTTTGAATTTGACAATAAATTCATGAACATCAGATATAAAATATAATTTCCTAAGATATTGTGAAAAAAGCATAAATGAAAATGTCCTGTCAACCATTCTCTTAGGGAAGGAATGTATAAATTAAAATTAACTCAGAGACAAGCACAATTTGTGAGATACATAGATTAGAATTTACTTGAGATGACAGCAGATTAGAATGAAACTATATTTTAGGCCCATTTTCAAACAGAGGATTTTCAGATCTTTTTTGAGAGAATCTGCTGTTACAACCATTTACAAAAAAGACCATTCAAAAAAATGCCCTTATCATCATCACAAGAAATGGAAAACAAAATCATTTGAGAAAATTACTGAGAAAATCCAGTAAATTGCAAGGAGAATGGCGTTGACGTGTTATTCCTTCTCAAGGCTAGATCATTTTACTAAACTGATAGAAAAAATTGAGAATATTTCTGGAGGCAAAGGAAAAATGTTTTTTTTTGTAAAATTTTTCAAATTTTATATTATGCAACTTTCAAGTTGTGAAACAACTCTTTAGAAGTTGAAACAGCTTATAGTGGAATCTGAATTTCAATTCTTAGCAAGAAAACAATATCCTCAACATTTTTCCATCAGTTGAGTTTGAAGCAAGGAAGGAAAAGTTGCAGGATGTATTTTACCAATATCTTCTTTTAATATTATTTATATTTTTTGTTTCTAATGAATATTGGAAAGGAATAAGTAAACATTGTTTAGTTTTTCCTCTCAAACTTTTTTCAATATATATATGCCTTCAAGAATGATTTCTTATCATTAAATGAAAGAAAATTACCTGTATAGGTAACTCTAGTAAAAAATAAAAAAATCATGTCTCTTACCCATCTAGATATTTGAGGTTGGGAATCATTTTGAAGACCTGTTCCCTGTAATTTTCCAGTGTGGTTGCTTCATTGTTGAATAAATCCACATTTTTCAGATGCTTCAAGTTCTTCAAAGGTTCCAGAGTGTCCAAATCTTTGATTTTATTGCCACTCAGGTTAAGGTGTGTCAGCTTTGGACATGACTCTAGAAATCCCAGACCTTTGGGTATCCTGGAAATATATGAATTGAATCAGTAACAAGATGACTAAAGTTTATAACAATGGCACAATGGAGTTGATGATACTTCCTATACCACACCATAATACAAAATGGTTTGTCCATGCCCAACAGAATCAATATTGAATAATTACCTGTTATCACTGAGTTCAAGTTTCCTCAGGTTGGGAAGTTTGGGGAAACCTTTGAGGGAGGTAAGACCAACATTGATGAGGGACAAACTCTGGAGATTTGTGAATTCATCTGTCAAACCAACGATAGTTGTGCTCCGGCAGTTATCCAATATCAGCTCTTTGATCTAAAATAATATAAAAGTTTTCAAAACTAGTTAAGATTATATGCTTCCATCGCTTCCTAATGAAATGCACAACTTTTTCAATTATCTGATGATTAGGTATACATTACGATTATTAATAATTATAATTAGTGGATATCTCGGTGGATATTATCCCATCTCCTGGAGGGAAAAAGTTTGAAAAGCGTAAAATCGTTATGGAGGCGACCAGCACAATTCGCGATTTTTTTTACGAGAACTTGGCGAACCATGTTCACCAGGTACTCGTACAAAGAAAAAAAAATGGATATACATACAAGTCCTCCTCATGTACTTAGAAATACCGTGAAAATGAATACCGGTTTCGACATGAAAGACCCTTCAGCACATGCATGAACATGACGACATCTCAAAAATGTCCACAATAACACAAAATATACGATAAATACTCACGTCTGCTGCCTTTTTGCCACGCATTTCTAATTCTATACGCTTCTCCATCATAATATCTGCTCCTATCCAATATCAACGACACCAAAAACACACAACCGCAGCCGAAAATTTCAAACCGTACCTTAGCTGACGAAAATGAGTTTTACAAAAGTGGATCAAGAACCGCGAAGAGTGCGAGGATAGAGAAGGCCATCGATTAGCCACCAAAGCGTTTTGTCAATGCCGCACTAGAGGGGTACTCACAATAACAATATGGACGACAGTGGCGGGAGAATTATTGACCAATCAAGAACTCGGATTCGCTGAAGGTTATGAAAGAGGGGTTACAAGTTGCTTATGATTTTCATTTAATTTTGGCAAAAAACTGTTTCTACCAGATATTGTGGGTAAAATTGAAGGGAATCTTTGGTCTTTCAGAATTGTTTTCTCCACCGTGGCAATAGGTAATACGAAGTGATTTGACTTTCTACGTAATGGATGGGCGTAGGTACGTTATCCGCGCCAATATTCAAATGATTCCTACATAGATGGTTTCCGTCATGAAATTTCTCATAAGGTGGTTTATCGTGTATAATTTGAATGTTTTTTATCTCTATGGTTACCAAAATAGTTTACGATTAATGTTTCAGAAACGAAATAAACCTTGTGTGGACGATAATTTTAAGATTCAACAATATATTATGGATGAGTCAAAACTGGCGGCATTTCATTACTACGAAATAATATTTACAGATGTCTTCTTACCTCTTGAAAGTTCGCTAGTTACACACACATATTCCCAAAAGAGGACAGTGTCGTCATCTAGTTATCTTGGTCTAGTTGGCCGAAATTCATTTAATTCAATACACTTTCAAATTTTTTAAAACTCTGATCTCGATGCCGTTATTGAAGCCCGTACGGGAAATTGGAAAACATCGACAGAAAATTAAAAATAACATTTTATATAAATTTAGCATATGTCGCCATCTGACGGCGATAACTCTAACACTTCCGAGCGGTTTATTTTCATCCATGTGAGCAACAAGCATATCCAAAAGACACCGCTAGGTGGCGAACGTTTGTGCTGTAAGTGCAAGTAACCTGTAACTGTGCTGGCATTTTTTTGCTGATTTCTCTGTGCTTCCCAATATGACCGTAGGATGTCGCATAAACCATGATATTCCAGTGATATTCTGTAGATATATTATCATAATAATATGAAGTATATGAATAGGTATGTGATAGATAATCTTGCTTTGTGGATACGTGGATAACAGATATTGAGATATATCATTGTTGCTGTTCTAATTTTGTTCTAAAATTGTTCTAAAATTGTTCTTATACATCATTCGGTTGCCCCTTATAAGCAATAACCCTCAAAGTCTTTCAAAATTTCTGCGGTCTGGTTATTCGTTATTCTTTTAATTTATATTCACAGAAGCATAGATTAAAATTGTTTTTTTCTGTGACGGGAAAAAAGTTTGGCATTTCATCTCTGTTGGCAGGTTATAAAATGTCACTTTTCATAAATTACTTTTTTCCCGTGGGAAAAAAGTGAGTACTTCTTTCCCGGATATATATCACATATATATACTCTGTTAATGGCTTTTGTTGTGCTATAGTTCCGAAAAATGAGTCAATAATACCGTCTCCGAGAAAGAACTGCAAGTCCTTTTATCTTCCATTCGACTTCGCGGTTTCGTATATTACTAAACAACTACTGAATTCGCAATTTTTTAAAATCAAATCACAGAATTGAACTGACAGAAGTGACATCAGATATTTGATTACTTCAAAAGAATGATAAAGAGGTCTATAAAACGCAGGTGTCCCTACTGTTAAAAACTCGAAATTTCACGTCGATAATTTTCAGATTTCGAAATAATGTAATATCTTTTCAATATTGATTCGTCCTTCCTTCTGTCACAGAAAAAAATAGTGTATTATACACGGGAAAAATGTTAGATTTTAGCTCACGGTTTTTTGTCTCCCTCCGCTACGCGTCGGGAGACAACACAACCTGGAGCTAAAATCTACTACTTTTTTCCCTTGTATAATAAATAACTATTTTTAATCTATGACAGAAGTATAATAGTTTTATAGTAGATGTTTTCTATATAGATTCTGACGTCACATTGACTACTCACTGATGTAACAATAATAGGTATAACTAGTACATAATATGATGTAACGTGAGGCGGACATTATGGATTATGCACATAGTTAACTCATGAATTTTGAACCTAGGTACTCATTACCTCTTTTGTTAAGTAGGTAACTTGTTTTCTGGGTACACTGGGTATCCAACAACCGGAATACAAGTTGTCAATTGTCAATCAATTAACACATCAGATATCAGATATTCCAACCAATCAAAAACGTGTATTTTGGAATGAATGGAACTCCTCCGCCAATCCTTAAATGCCGAGGAGATGTACAGGGTGGGCAAAATTGGGCGTTTTCACCGTCTATCTCAATAACTAGAGGAGTTATCGAAAAACCGATATACATGTTCCGGGTTCGATTTTGGAGAAACCTCGAATGGCACAATCAAAATTTCGATATCTTCATTCGTTTTAGAGATACAGGGGGAAATTGAAAATTTCACTACTTCACGGTGAGACGTATCAAAAAATTTCAAATGTATATTCATACAGTATGATGCGTGGAATTCATTGGCATCATCAGAAATTTTATACAGGGTGACGTTGAGAAGATACGGCAGCCAATTATGTTTTTTCTAAAGGAACACCCCGTATATTTTGGCACAGTTGAATAGTCCCAGGCGTTCTCATTACAAATATCTGTATAACCCTACCTTTTCCTTCCACAATTTCAGATATATTCGCAAAAATATATTCAGTGTGTCACATTTCTTATGGTTACACCCCCGTATCTTCTGTGAAAATAATTGAGGTAGGATTCAGAAATTCGCAACTATCAGAAAGATACAAATGATACACTCATGGAGTCATGGACCAAGTGGGATCATCTCCAATGATAACACTGCTCGCCAGCAGCTATGGAATCATCGATATTTCTGGATAATGCTATCAACAGGCAGAATCGAGGTTGAAAATGACACTCTGTATATATTCACCAAATGTGGAAAATAAATATCATAGGGAATGTAATCTCTAGATAAATGGATATTTGGTAAGAAATGAAATGAGAAATTATTCGATTTCATATCATTGGTGTCAAGACATTCAAACTATTTAAGATACAGAAATAAGAGGAATAATTTATTTATTTAATAAATAACAACGTATAAAGATATTGCTTCATAGAATATGTTCAAATTGTCTTCCATTTTGGCCTAAGCAAACTTCCCATCGTTTCCTTACAGAATTCACTGCGTTTGTGATATGAATGGGTCTCACTTTTTGGAATGCTGAAATAACGTCTTCACGTAGTTCTTCAGCGTTTTGGTGATTTCGGCGGTATATATGGTGAATTCTGTAAGGAAACGATGTGAAGTTTGCTTAGGCCAAAATGGAAGACAATTTGAACATATTCTATGAAGCCATATCTTTATACGTTGTTATTTCTTAAATAAATAAATTAATTCTCTTATTTCTGTATCTTAAATAGTTTGAATGTCTTGATACCAATGATATGAAATCGAATAATTTCTCATTTCATTTCTTACCAAATATCCATTTATCTAGAAGTTACATTCCCTATGATATTTATTTTCCACATTTGGTGAATATATACAGAGTGTCATTTTCAACCTCGATTCTGCCTGTTGATAGCATCATCCAGAAATATCGATGATTCCATTGCTGCTGGCGAGCAGTGTTATCATTGGAGATGATCCCACTTGGTTCATGACTCCATGAGTGTATCATTTGTATCTTTCTGACAGTTGCGAATTTTTGAATCCTACTTCAATTATTTTTACAGAAGATACGGGGGTGTAACCATAAGAAATGTGACACACTGAATATATTTTTGCGAATATATCTGAAATTGTGGGAGGAAAAGGTAGGGTTATATATATATTTGTGATGGGAACGCCTGGGACTATTCAACTGTGCCAAAATATACGGGGTGTTCCATTAGAAAAAACATAATTGGCTGCCGTATCTTCTCAACGTCACCCTGTATAAAATTTCTGATGATGCCAATGGATTCCAAGCATCATACTGTATGAATAAACGTTTGAAATTTTCTGATACGTCTCACCGCAAAGTAGTCAGAAAATAAAATCGAAATCGGCAAATTTTCAATTTCCCCCTGTATCTCTAGAACGAATGAAGATATCGAAATTTTGATTGTGCCATTCGAGGTTTCTCCAAAATCGAACCCAGAACATGTATGTCGGTTTTTCGATAACTCCTCTAGTTATTGAGATAGACGGTGAAAACGCCCAATTTTGCCCACCCTGTACAAAATCACGGAATCCCGATCATCCTTCGATCGATTATCGTTATCGCCCAACTCCCATAAGACCTTCATCGCCCGAGCACACACACACTCACACACACATCCAACTTTAAAACCTCCCAAATCCCTTCTTATTAAAATCGCCGGCGGCGCAGATAGAAAATCCGAGTTATGAAAGTTGTTTGGCTCCCCGGAGGGCTGCCGGCGCGGATATTTAACTCCCAAACTCCCATTCGCAGCAGCACGCTTGTATCCGCGGAAGTTACAAGGCAGAAAACACCTTCGGAATGGCCGGCCTTTCATAAATATCAATCGGCGAAGGAGTTATCGGCCTACCGGACTATCGCGTATGGCCGGCACGTACTACGAAACTCCGTGTGAACGGAGTTCTGGGGCGTCCGCAGAAATAATCTCAGCGGGGCCGAAGGGGGAATACAGGTACTCTCTAGGCTGAAAAATTTTCCGGAATTTTTCTGACAATAAATCTACCACTATATTTGCAGTATTTGCAGCAGCTTCTTCAATAGTTTTTTCACACATTTCTGCAACACAACCCTGCTAAGTGAAAGTGCAGCATGTGCAAAAATGGCAATTATGAGATTTTTGGATGATTGTATACTACGGACATTCTGGGATCTCTTTACTAAGGAAAAACACCGTATTTGTCATAATTAGTGGAAATATTCGTCGATATTGTTTGCCGTATGTACAAAATGCACTGTGAATACTAGACAAGAACGTATGCTCTGTATTTACTGCACTCTTCCTCAGCACATGTCGGTTACTGCATTTTTGCTAAGTTGGTGAGAATGTGCAATTCGTAGGTA